AGTGAGCAGCCTACTGTAGGAAAATAGGCATTTTTCAGCATCCTTAGGAGAAATGTTAATAAGTATCATTCTGATACGAAAATGAAATACAACAATGTGATGGATCAAAAGTATGGTAAAAGAAAAAGATATTTCAAAGTGCATCTCTATGCTTTTATTATCTTTAAAATTAGAAATTGGAGTGTACTAAAATGCTACATGAAAAACTATAATTCATCAGTAGAAATATACAAACTTGAGTATTTATCACAGCATTTTTAAGTCAAACTTTGACTTTTCTTTTGCCCCTCACTTCCTTAACACTGTTGCATCTACACAGAGTGTTCTGAGTTTAGAGTTTATTTGCTTGGAATACCTGTTGCCCTGTATATAAAATATAATATCTATACATTAAATTATTGAGAAAATATTGTTACTATTATTTATTACACAAAATAAAAAAAAAAAGGCCTTGTTTCCAGATTTTTATAATTCATTGTTACAAGCTACAGGTGCAAATTTATCTACCTGTCAGCTGTTTGTCTGCAAAGAGCTTTGAATGCAATAGATGCATGTTGACTATTCTTTAAAAATAGCTGTCATTGAGTTTCCTTTTATTAATTTAAATGTTAGGATATTTTCATCTTTTTTTTCTTCAAGTTGTAATTTACCCTAGGTTTTCTTTATAGACCTCTCACTGTCCTTGTCTCTTATTCTTATGTACCAGTGAGACACCCCAACTTCTTTTTGTTTCTGTACTGGACCTCTTTGAACATGCCCCATTTCACCTCTGATTTGGTTTTGCAGAGTATACTTTGTGCCTCACTACCTCCCTTAGCCAGGTTCTTCTACACATTTCTAGAAACTGCTTCTTTTTTATATAGTTTATAGCTGTGGCATCTAAATACCACAAATGGGGTGACCCCAGATAGAGCCAAACACTTTCAGCTTCTCTGTTAATTTTTCCATTGTTTCTTTCTTCTTCCTTCTCATATTTACTTGCCCCAAGAATATGCCTGTATTTCTGACTTTTCCCCCTCACTTCTCTTCCACTCCCATGACAAGGTAGGAAGTTGCTCCTTCAGGAGAGGACCTTATGAAACCGGTACGCCCTAACAATCACTTTAGGATGCTGTCTGGGCTCTTCTGAACCACAGCTCTTTTGTGAACATTTCCCACTCCCTGAAGCAAAGAGCATCACCTCAGCTTTATTAGCCATGGTTTATAGCTGTTTTGGCAGATAATCAATCTTTTACCAAGCCTAATCCAACCACCCCAGACACCTGCGGATTAGAAGAAAGAGTTTAGAGAGTAGCTTATAGAGATACGGGGCTGCTTCTTCTCACTGGAGAGAGCTGCTGGTGTGTCGTGCCCGTCTTGGAGCAGTTATTGCCTATCCCAGGCATCATGCCTCATAGATGTCAAACACCAAGATGACAAAAGACTGGCCTACAGCCATAAAGCATGTAAAAAACGAAGAATCACAGAAATGTTAGAAAGTGCTTCTTGCTTTTAATTTGAGGACCAACCAGTAATTCAGCATGGCTGGGAGGACTCACATGTTTTGCCGTATTTGTTGTACAACCAAGTAAGTCATGGACAACATGCTTCTCCATCTAGCAAGCTTGCCTACCTCATCTCTTGTGTCTTCCTGATGCTTCTGTGTTCCTACTGACCCTGCAAAACTCCACAAGTTGAGCCAGGCAGAGCCTGTGCTGCTGCACATCATGGATGCACAGGCTGCAAAACATCTTCCTCAGAAACCTGTGCTATCTGGCTCTGTAGTCTCATATATCCTTGACAGCAGTGATTTTTGCCTTGTGATCTCCACTTGTGAAGGCCCTAAGTAAAACAAAGAGTATCCCTCCTGACTCCTTGTCACTTACTGGAGATCAGTGGTGGAAGACAGGCTATAGAAAAAGTCAGTCAGTGAAGGAGAGAGTAGCTTATCTTTGTCTGAAACAGCGCCAAGAACAATATATCATTGTCCATACATATTTAACTCTCTGGACTGACTGATTTGTCTTGCTGAGGTGTAATTTTGGAAGTTGAGGTATGGAAGTCGTTTTTCTTCAACAAAGGTAGCTGCTATCAGAAAGTGATCAGTAGGCCTGTTGCTTTGCCTGTATTTTGCTGCTTTTAGAAGTTAATGGAATTCTTTGCTGAAGTCTCATGTAATGTTATGTTACCATGACACACATACAAAAATAAAAGTGCTGTTGTCAGGGTGACGTAGTCAAATTATTAACACCCTGTTTTTCCAGTATTCAGATTAAAAAGGCACAATTTATGTTTTATTTGTTTGTGTTTTAAATAAAAATTTTAATGTAATTTTAAGTAATGAAGAAAACAATACCAAAGTGATCATATGCAAATTCACATAAATATGGTAGTATGACTTGAAGAGCTAGCACTGAAAATAGATTTGTCCTTCAGGTTCTGCTAGGGGCAATGGTGAGAAAGGAGAGGATTTTGAAATTATGAGAACCACTTTGATGTTATTACTTGTAATAGCTGAAAGCAGAAGCCATAGATAATAATAATCTTCAAACTGTAGAGGCTGAAAGCCAAGAATGACTGCAGCTGCCTTGAGTGATGGTGGAACAAAGCCATATAGTTGTGAATAGTTTATGCAGATGAAATATAATCACAAAGTCAAAATTTTCAGTCATCAGGTTTGAGATGTAAGAAGCAGGTGGTACATGTCTATCTCAGGGTTTTGGAGGGGCTCTCTGGAGTTAACTACCTCAAAGAATCATAGACTAAAGAAACAGTTTTGATATCTACAATTAGATAACACAAGGGGATGGTCACTTCAAACACAAAATTATTGCTTGTTTATGGTCTTCTCCAGACATTCAATGAGGCAGATTGTTCCTGTTTTAAAATAATGCCTCAGAACTCAATGCCACTTTTTTCTGGAAGTGCTAAATGGAAAGTAATGACAGAGAGGAAATTGTTTCCAAGTTTTGTAACTGGCAGCCATTATGAGAGGATCTATGAGCTTTTCAAATCCATTTTTACATACTTTAAATCATGGCTTGTCAAGAACTGGGCAACCAAATGTGTAGAGAATGTGGCCAAGATATCCCACTGCTTCTGAATTATTTATGACCTGATCACAGTATTTGCAGATCTCTACTGTTTATAGAAAAAAAACTACATTAAAATTTTCACCAATAACATTTTGCTTTTGTATATCTAAAATAAAATTGCCACTTTAATTATTAAGGTTTTAATAGCCCTGCAGTTTCAGTGGCCACTTGGTAACATTGTAGTCTGATGGGGTTTAATAACTTTCACTAATGTTAAGTACCGAAGAAATCACTACAGTTTTGGTGCCTCAAATTCGAGGGACAGAACTATTTTAAGGAAGAATAAACAGTAACAATATTGAATAAACAATCTTTTGACTTTTGAGACATGTAACTATTTTTCTACAGCAAGTGGAAAACATTAACATACCATGTATATTGAGTCAGGATCTGAAAGCAGCTCTATTCCTTCTTGACTGAAGGAAAATTTTATTGATGAATTAGCAGATTATATGATCAATTTTCTCTTTCCACTTCCTAAAAAACAATTGAATACATGCATATATGTATGGTCCAGTGCAATGTTGAGTCTAGGCAGCATCAGCTAAGCAGCTACCCTTCCTTTTCAGTTCAGTTGCCAACTCAAAAATGCTTAGCAGATACTGAGTCAATGTAAAAATGTAAAATTGTGAGCCCAGGCATTGATCCATCTTCTTTAAATCCTTTCATTATAAATTCTGTTATTAGAAAAAAAATAATTTGGTATGCTGTCATTTCAGTCCATTTTCTTTACCTGCCTATGCATGTTGATCATTAGCTATTCACTGCATGTGTCTGATAACTGTTCTGTAATGCTGCCTTTTTTTCCCCACTTTTCATAGTGTAAGTATTCCAGTTGGAAATGAGTAAAACTGCCAAAAGATTAAAGAAATGGCTTCTTCATAATTTAAGCACTGATTGCCCATCCTGAGAGAAGTGGATTGGGATTCAGGTGATCACATATCAATATCTACAGTTTTGACAGTCCTCCCAGGCTCCCTTCATAGACAAAAGGAGAGAAAAAAACCCCAAAAAACTAAAAAAAAACCCACCCAAAACCAAACAGAAAACCAAAAACCAACAAACAAAGCCCCCATACAAACAAACAAACAAAAACAAAACTAAGCCAAAAAACTAAAAACAAAACAAAAAACCCAAACATTTTTAGAATGCAGTCTCATCCCAAATTAAACTTCTAAAGTAGATCAGATGATTTGCACCCTAAAAATACTTGTTTTAGTTGGCTGCAAATGGAAACAAGAACGACTAGCTTAGAAGTTTGCTTTGTAGCCGTCCAAAGGTAGAGAAGCATAATCCCATCCCTGTGCTCAAATTAATCATAAATGCCTAGAGGTTTTGTGCAATGACACTTCTAATGTGAATGTACTGTGGCTGTAGCTTTTGATGTAAAGGACATAGTGTCATTTAGTGCTCTGTGCAGATGAGAAGTCACATTTGGCACAAGCACCAAAAACATTACAGTCATATTAGGACTTAATTTTAAATGGATTAGATTACCCTGATTTTCACCTTGGCTAAATAGTGCCTGGTATTAGCATGTCCACATTATTGCCAGAACAGATCAGTTTGGGAAACAGCATTAATGCTGTGGTTGTAGCCATACAAAGGTGGTGCTTAATATTTATGTTGGAAGATAACTGGAGTGGCCTTGACCACATTAGGTCCTGCTACGTAAAGAAGCATATATAATATTACAAATATTAATAATACCTATTCTTGCCCCAGCAAGGTCACAAGAAGCTAGTGAATGAACAATGAAAAGTGAGAAACATGAATGAAAGTAGCATTATTTAGGAATGACACATGGCAAAGGTCTCTTGCATTAAGGAGGGTTAAAAAAGCTGACAGATGTTGAATTTGTTGATTCTGCAGTTATTTTAGAACATTACCTTAATGGTGATTTTTCCTGTGGGTTTTTCCCCTTAGGATGATTTCCAGCACGCAGCCTCAGAAACCAACTGGGAGTCAGTCACAAGCTCTGTCTCAGTAAGTAATTTGTTTCTATTTTGCCCATGGATGGATTAATAGGGTGTCTTGAATCCAGCTCACTAAAATGGCATTTGCACAGAGGAACTATGTATTCACCTTTGGCAGTGAGTGAATTAAGGGTTGATCCAACTCATAGTGGAGTCAGCCAGTATATTTTTAAGACAAAAAGATTCAGGATATGCCATCAGCTGATGTAACTTCATGAGATAGCCATTGGGAAACATTTCTTGTTTTCAAATTTATTGTGCCAAGATGAAAATGAAAGATTTAAACTCCTTACCATTTTCAGTTGTAAAATGTCTTCACCTAAATGGAAGACTATACTTAAAACAAGCCAGCAAGAAAATTGACTTAGTTTTTCATTGTCGATACTGAGTTTCTTTTTCAGTGTTTTTAATAAAGTAGTATATCTAAGGTCTCCATATTCAGCAGTGAAATGTCACTTGGGACAAAAAAGAAAGAAAAAAAAAAATGGTAGTCCGATATAAAATGTTATTTTTCTCTTCTTTAATTTTGATTTGCATCATTGGCCAAAAATCTGTACTGTCTTAAATTTCCTGAGTAAAGTTAAATGCTGGGGAATGGCAATGTAGCATCAAAATTAAAAATACAGCCTGTCCTATTCTGTGCACGCTGTTGGCTGGTCAAGACCATGTCACAGCTCTTGTAAACTCCTCTTAAAACACATGAAATGAGGATAAGCACTCAAAGCAGACTTGAAACCAATGTTTGGCGCATTTGTGGAAGAGGGTTTAGTGTTGGCACCTTTGTTACGAGGGCTTCCAGGAGTTGCCAGTAGAGAAGTAAATAAAATATGGGTGAATTCTACTCATTAGTGTCCAAGCTGGGCAACGAGTAGAGAGAAAATTTTGTATTGCCAAAATTAGTAGAGGTTAAGCCAATCTCACTCGTATTTACCCTTGAGTTTGTAAAAGACACCTGCTCTTCATGATACGATGCATTGATAGCCTAGAACTAACTGTGCTGAAAGTCCTCAGTAGTAATGTTAGTGGGCTTGAGGTCTACTGGGTGTGCCAAGCAGGAGATGCTAAAACACTATTTTATTGAAAGACATAAACTCATTTTTCATTCTAATATGGGGTTGTAAAAAAAATTATATATGTGATAGAATATTTTATTTTAAAATATGGTAGGCTGTTGTCTGAAAATGTAAGACTAGGGCTCCCTCATCAGGTAACTATGAAAATACAAGGTCACATGGAATCCTACAGCTAAATAGTTATCCTCCTTAACATCATAGGGTGCACAATACACCAAAGAATAATCTAATATTCTTTTCATATTGAAAAAATACTTCTCTTTCACATCTGTTTATTTCTAAAAAGTTGTTATTAATGTGCATAGGTGGGGAACTACAGTATGAATATTACAGGTAGGAAGCTAATGCTCAAGGTCACATGGAATCCTACAGCTAAACCAGAAGCAGCACCCCAGTTTCATTAGTTTTCCTGTGCCATCTCCTATCTAATAAATATACCTTCTTTCACAGGGCATGCATTGCACCCACTAACCTCTTCTTATCCTCAGGGAAAATAAGGTAGAGAGGTTGAGTAATTTTTCCCAGTGGCACAAATGGAAAACTCTGAGGGCATACCAATAGTTTGAGAGAAAAAGGTTCAGGGATTCTGCTGTGGTCCTGAGGGACAGAAGGAGAAACTCAGACCTGTCAGTTGCCAACAAGATGACATCCTGCACTGCTGATGCTCAGCCTGGCAGAGCAAACTTTTGCCCCTCAAACCCACAGTCTACCCAAAGACTCAGTTTAGGATCTGGATACATTACAATGCTCAGAAATAAAATTCTAGTGCAAGCAAATTCTTTCTTCCTTGTCTGAGGTCCTATCACAGAGCAATATTTTGGAATAACTTTTTTTTTTATTTTCTCAGCCAAAACCGATACTTCTACCCTTAGCCAAGCTTGGCAAACCCAGAAAAAAAAAGAACCAAAATTCAGTCCTCAATAGGTCAGTTTTCATTATTTGTGAAATAGTGTTATGAAGTCAACTGTGATGCACATTGAACTGCCCGCCAGCTTCACGGAACAGATAGAAAATAGAAAAAAATGGGGGAACGGAAATTAAGAGTAAGAGCACTGAAAAAAAAGGATACATTTGTGAAGTTAAAAATGTATTCAGTGCTTTTAAAAAACAGAGAAGAGGTACATAATGTGGAAAATCTTTGCTTTTCATGGCTTCTTGCATTTCAGTCTTCTTGCCCTGTCTTTGAATGCAATCTCAGAAGCCAGATTATGAGGAGCATGAGCTCTTCTACAGCCTTATTCTTGGCAGGACAAAAGAGAGGCAGTTGGGTTGGCAGCTTTGAAGTTACTTTTGGTCCTGTCACATGATGTCACTGCCAGTAGGTTATCTGAGCTGTTGAAATAATTCCTCTTGACTTGGCTGTCACTGAGAAAAGTTAAGCTTTCTTCTGTGTGTGGATGAGGTTGCACAAATCTCTCAAGTAGGATCTTTTATATGAAAAGAAGATGGGGAATCCCTACTGCCTCTCTGAGTTTGAAGTGCCCTACAGATTCACAGCCTGACCTGCAAGTTCTGTAATGAAGTGCAATGTTGAACATATGGAAAAACTCTTGCATTGTCTAAGCCACACACCCATAGCCTCATTTTTATGGTACTGTTTCTTCTCCATCCTTGTACCATTGCCCTCACTTCTGAAGGGCAGTTCAGGACTGACATTTCCCTGTAGTACTGCAGTCACAGAGGAGCCAGGAGCTCCACTTAGCTCTCCTCAGTCAGCAAGTAGCATTTGTGTGCATTTTTCTTATGTATGCTCAAAGACTGCACTTGCACCCTTGGTGATGTCTGCCCACAGCACAGTCCGTCCTGCAGCTTTGTTTTAGATAAGCACGCTGTGTTCACTTTGCTGGTGTGAGCTTTTCAACTCCTAGGGCTTCTTTCTCTCTGGCGGTCTCTATTGCAAACCACTTAGAAGTCAGGAGAGATGCCTTCCCTTTTAGTGGGTCATGAATTTTCACAGCCATCTGCAGTGTGTCTTATTTAGCACTGCCTTGTAGAGGCATTGCAGTCACAAGTGGGCCCTCTGAAACTCTTGTGCTGCTGGCAATAAGCAATAAAGTGCAGCTATGCTTTCTGACTGTGCTTTTGTAATGTTTTCTGTTTCTTCTCTTTCTTTTTAATAATTTGTACTGTCCATACTTTCACTAAATATAGGCAGTAAAATATCAAGAATTTCTCTTAATGGGATATAACACTGTTAAAGACAAATGTGTTATTTTAAAGGACATATATACTTTAGAACCATTTTAGTAAGCTTTGAAGGACACAATTCTGAAAGCAAGTGAGTAATTTTAGTCAAATCAGTTGACCTTTCTATTACTACCCCACTGAGTGAAGTTAATAGCAAAGATTAATAGTTTAACATATGCGTTTACTTGGGAGATGAGGCAAAAAACTATTTTGAGGAGCCATTAATTTTAAATGGCATATTTCTTCTATATGAATGCAGAGAAGGGTTTTCATGAGAGAAGAGGGTTTCTAGAGTTTTAACTCGTAAGGCCAAAATCTGAACAACTCCTGTTCTATTTTATGATTCTTGTTGAATAAATCAGGTGTTTCCATTGTAGTCCTTCAGAAGGTGACAGATCTGCATTAACAGTGTTTCTTGCACATACTTTACACATACTATTAGGCTTTGTGCTTGGACAAGGGAAGAGTGAAATCAGGGTAGCCAATATTGTTATTCTAAATAACGATTATTGAAAATGTTTTAAGTCCTCTCCAGTAAAAATGAAATTATTACAGTCTTACTGTCAAAGTCAAGTTGTGCCACAAGTTCATTGGGAAACAAATGTGTTCAGAGAATGGCACTTTGCCCTTCCATTTAGTATTATGATAAAATTGTGAGGATATCACTATGTTGGTAATTCCAGTATTCATTGTTACATAGCTAAGATCATATTGCTGAAATTACATTTTTTCTTGTTTGCTTAGTAACTTGTATTTGTGGTAAAAGGGTGGGAGAATTGGCATTCATTAGTTTTTCATACATTTAATTATTGAGAATAAAGGGCCATCTTTTTAAGTCTATAACCAAACCAAATTTCTTGTCTAAATTGACCAGGGAAAGAAAGTCCAGTGGAGTTGTTGCCTTAGTTTTTCTATGCTGTGGTTTCTGATCTGCCTATTATGAATTTACTAACAGAGCTGGTGAACCTCCCCAGCTGTACAAGGTACCTCCATTCTGTGGTCATGCCCATGACAGTACTTTCAAAAGACATTTCCGTTACATCTTTGTACATGTGCAAACCATCATCCTGGTTGTGGAGTGGGTGTGCATGTTCAGCAGTGATAGTACTTCTACTCCTTGCATCTTCTCCAGGATTTTCATGGGAGTTCCTTGGTGTCTGTTCTCCTTGCAAAAAGAAAGCATAAGCATAGCAAAGCCTGACCAGAACTTCAAAAGATGGCCCAAAAGCTGCTGTTTCAATCAATATTGAGACAAGTTTCTCAGTAACTGTTTTCAGTTGTTTGAAGTGGTTCAGTAATGTATTCCAAGTACACTGAGATGTATGTCACTCTTAGGGGGTATCCTATCCCTCTCCATCAGTGACTGACCCTACGCTCACGGCAGAAGCTCTGGATCAAACCATCGCAGCATTTGACACGGTGGAGGATCTGCTGAAACACTTTAACCCTGACTCCTGGCAAGAAGATCTCGAGAATTTGTACACAGACAGTGGCCACCATTATCGAGGCAGGAGCTACCATGACAGGAAGTCCAAAGGTAGGAAAAGACACTATATACATACTTTGGGGTAAGACCAGAATATTTCTTCACTCCTTATAGAAATTTCCATTGATCAGGTATTCAGTTTTGGTGCACGTGTTCCTGTTGGAGTCACAGGGCAAGGTGCCACCTATTAAAATAAAGGATAAGTCATTTAATCCTTAATCATTTTCTGATTGAATAGGATCTCACTTGAGAAATCAGACAGAAAACTGCCCATCATTATGACGAATTTGTAAATAAAAACTTAGGTCCATGTGTAAAGGACAGATGGTTCTCAGCTGCACCCTCTAAAACATTGCTTTGTGTGTAAGGCATGGGGATCCTTATTACCTGCACTATCATCCTCCTTTAAATACCCTACTTAGGGACTGTTTTCTGTTGAGTGAGGAATAATCACTTTTATCACATTGTGCTTAGGGAAGCAGCTGGTGCAGACACCTGTATGTACAGCTGGTTTTTTAGGATGTGAGCATCTCACTGTTTTTCATTATGTTGGCAGGGAACATCATTATGGTTTAACATCTTTGTCTGTAATTGAGCAAAGCACACGTTTCTGGGTTATGTTTCTTGTTTCCTTCTGTTAGTTCAAATCATCCACCAAATGGTAAAGCAAAGGGATGCTCAGCTAGTGATGCAAGCCCATAATAATAAAGAAACACTATTTAGAATAGACAGTCATGCGTGGGTAACCACACAGTGAAGAGCCTGTTGAAATTGCCCTTGATGTGCAAGAATAGATCTAGGAGGTCTGTTAGGGTTCTCCAAGATGACAATTGCTGTAGCTTTTAGAGAAGATCTGAAGTGATTTTTTTTTTTTTTTTTGAGTTCTCTTGTTAATACTGTCTTCCATTTCCAAGTTTTGCATTCATATGCATTCTTCTTCATACATTTAAAATTTTAATTCCCAAATCATAGTTCTGGTCCTGAGCAATCTACCATTTATTTACATCTCAAATCTCATCCCCACTACATTAAGTATATATTAAGCAGGAAGAGAGGATTTTCATTCTATCTTTGTAACTTACTTAGTCTCAAATAATGAAGTTTTGATCTTAAAGCTATATCTGTAGGCTGTATCTGTATTAGGGAAAATAGTGTCTAGGAGTGTTCCCAGACCCTGAAATCCCTTATTGATAAGTTGCCAGCCTGATCTCTGCTTAGTTTTGGCCTAGGCCAGGTGTCATTCTCCCAGGTCATTGCTGGGCTTGAACCATTCCTAGTGGGTAGTTTGTATGTAGCCACCTCATCTTGGAGAATAAGAGATAAATGGTAGGTATGTGGGCTGTCCCATTCTTTGTGCCAAAGAATGACCTCAGGCACTCATAATGTATTAGTAGATAAATAGCCAACTTGGCAAACAGATTCCTAGACATGTTGGCCATCTCCGTTTTTGGGCTGAGCACTTCAAAGGAATCAGTGATAAAGCCCTGAGTACCCATCCAGTGAAAAATGAACCCCTTTATTTTGTACCCTTTGGGCACAACAGAAGTTTCAGGCAATCACAACAGCCCATGTTTTATGAAAAAGTCACCTAACCACTGATCAGATTGATCTCATCGAGGAGTCTGTGAAACATGATCTGAGTGTCTGTTATTCCCAGGATGGATTTGGCACTGATAGACATGTGTACAAAAGAATTAAAGGGTCTGTTTTGATTTTAATAGAAGATGATTAGAAACTTGGATCCTGTACTGGTTCTGCTCTCCAGATTTCAGCTGATTCTCAGATCTTATTTGGCCTAGTGCTCTATATATTTAAATGATCATGTGTATATAAAATAGCATTTCTTGCTTTATTGATGCCGACTGTCTAGGTTAGTGGCATCAATCTGATATAGTAGTTAGTACTTGGAAAACTTAAATGCATTAAGTATTCTCTATTTAATACAAATGTAATCCAGCTTCGTGCATAACCAAATACTGTAAAAAAATTGTTTTCCAGTTATTGTTTTAACACTTGATGTATTTTAATATGATATTTTTTTTGGTTATAGGAATAAGAAAAGAAAGGTTTATAAGAGTTTTTCTTTTGTCTTCAAAGTAAAGGCCAAATTCCCTGACTGTTAACAGCCCTCTGGACAAAAGTACCTCACCACAATCAAAGCCTAAAAAAAAAATTCAGTTAAGAATTTTTATTTAGTCATAAACTTCTGGCAAGATTAAAGGCTTGTTCTTGGATGATGTCAGGAGAAGGGAATAGCTTTAACAAGTCCTTAAATTAGTAATGCTCAGTGGATTTTTAACACAGACACTGTGGATTTCTGAGGAATGTTTATAGGCACCGGGATAACCTTGCAGCAAAGAGAGCAATAGATTATATCCTAATTTATTACAGATATCTGTTTCTGCTTTCAGCCTGGGTTTTATTTTTTTATCCTTAGTTAGAACAGCCCCGAAGCAGATAAGAACAGTTTTATGTAATCTCTGCCTATCTTTCACAGTGTTTTCAGAACATGTCATATAACTGGTATAAATGAATCACTAATGATTTCCCTCCTGTGCAACTCTATGCCCATACCAAATTGTGTCACAAAATTGAGCTTAAGAGACCATGTTGCTAAATACCAATTCTGATAACAATGATCTATATGAGATCCTCTACAGAAGGACCTAGACAGACTGGATTGATGGTCTGAGACCAGTTGTAGAAAGTTCAACAAGGTCAAGTGTTGGGTCATGCACTTGGGTCACAACAACCCCATGCAACACTACAAGCTTGGGGAAGAGTGGGAAATCTGCCCAGAGGAAAAGAACGTGGGTGTGTTTATTGACAGATGGCTTGAATATGAGCCTGCAGTGTGCCTAGGTGGTCAAGAAGGCCTACAGCATCCTGGCCTGCATCAAAAATAGTGTGGCCAGCAGGACTAGGGCAATGATTGTCCCCCTGTACTCAGCACTGGTGAGGTCACACCTTGAATCCTGTGTTCAGTTTTGTGCCTCTCACTACAAAAAGACATTGAAGTGCATGTCCAGAGGAGGGCAACAAAGCAGGTGAAGGCTCTGGAGCACAAGCCTTATGGGAAGCAGCTGTGGGAACTGAGCTTGTTTAACCTGGAGAAAAGGAGGCTGAGGGGAGACCTTATCACTCTCTACAACTACCTGAAAGGAAGTTGTAGTGGGGTGGAGGTTGGTCTCTTCTCCCAAGTAACAAATGATGAGACAAGAGGAAATGGGCTGAAGTTGAGCCAAGGGAGGTCTAGAGCAGGTATTAGAATAAATTTCTTTACTGAAAGTATTGTTAAACACTGTAATAGGCTGCCCAGGGAGGTGTCTGAATCACCATTCCTGGAGGTATTTAAAATATATATAGATGTGATGCTTGGGGACGTGGTTTAGCCCTGAACTGGTAGAGTTAGGTTAATGGTTGGACTCAATAATCTTAAAGGTCTTTTTCAACAAGAACAATTCTGTAATTCTGTGATATGTGATAAATTGTATTTAAATGGTATGTTTTCTTAATTTGGCAATCAATAATCAATAATCAATAAGGTTTGGTGGGAAGGAAGTAAGTACAGTATTTTAGCTTGGCTGAAACTCACAGGAACACAGAATAGATGAAGTGAGAATGTACCTCAGGAGCTGTCTACTCCAACTTCCCTTCTAAGGCAGAGTCACCAATAGCAGGTTGCTTGAGAGCATATCCAGTCAGGTTTTGAATATCTCCAAGAGTGGAGACTACACATGGAGAACCTGCATCTGACCACCCTCTTAACAAACAGAAAATAAAGTTGGGAGGTTTTATACATTTAAGTAGGGTTTCCTATGTTGCAGTTTGTGTCCAGCGCCTCTTGTCCTTTCAAAGAAGACTCTGGCTCCATCTTCATTACTTCTTTCTTTAATGTATTTATATACGTTGATATACAGATCAGTCCCTCTGTAGATACCTCCTGCAGGAACCTGAAAGATGAAGAGTGTGTTGAGTAAATCTGTAGGTATAACTCAGTACCATTTAAAGAATCTGACCTCACACCTCCACAACACTGGGACAACTCCATTGAGTTAAAAGCATTTCTTTCTATTTACACTATTGAAGTGAGATACTGATATCAGATGTATCTCACTAATAACCACATGAAGTTTGAAATTTCATTCTACAGTTGTTCAGTGAGATTTGCTGTTAACAACTCCAGTACAAGTTAACTATAGAATTGCAGTGAAACCCAGACTGGCAGAAAAAGACAGAAAAGAAACACATTCACATTTTCAAAATCCTTAAATGAAAGGCCTTTTCTAAGCTATAATCTGGAGTATACACCTCCTACATCAAAACATGACAAGCAGATGTTTCAAATAACCTTTGCAGCAGGTGTAAATATACTAAAAGAGTCATGCGTGCTGTTGCTGCATTTTAGAAACTCTGAAAGTATGAATATTCAGTGTTAAGCTCATCCTAAACTCACGAAAAAGTAAAACCTTTGAAATAACTCCTTTTGCATTGCTCTAATAAGTTATAGTTGACCTCAGTGCCATAGTCATTTGACTATTACAAATATAAAGCATCTCTAAAAGGGTATCACTGGCTATTGGGCTATTTCTTACTGTTCTTAGCAAGAACACAGATAGATATAAAAAAGAAAACAGCCATACTCAACAATGAGGTTGAACTTCTAGACAAATGGATTTCTGTTCTTGTAGCATAAGGGCCATTCAGAGATGTTTGAAGGAAACCTCTTCCTCCTACTGGTTAAATTTTTGAAAGCATCAGTGTAACTGATTGACAATATTAGAAGAGCTCCTCAGAGATAACTGTTGTAAACAGTTCTGACTATCAATTAAACGTTATTTAACACTTCCCACATGCTCGTTTGCCTTTATCTTGTGTTGTTCAGTCTGAAATTTTGCATCCCATTGAAAAGGCTTTATAATTAAAAAAAAACAACAAAAAAAACCAGCTCTGCCTGTGAAATGGCTTATATACAAATGAAGAAAGAAAGGAGAAAGAAAAAGTTCACTGTTTCTCATCGTAGACATAGATGTAAATAATCTCTAGGGGAT